ATGACACACAAAAAGCATTGACAAAACCCATATTTAAATAGTTTGAGTTGTTCAAATTTCTCATAATTTATTGTAACAATTAAAAACTTTTAATTTTGCGCTTTCTTTCTTTCTTTTTTTTTTCTTTCTAATGGGAAATCTGTTCTCTCAGGTGGTTGTACCACCTCTCCCGGGGAAAGCTCTTTTCCGGCAGCTTCCTTTCCGAGGAGATGATGGCATATTTGATGACTCTTTCATCGAGGAGCGGAGACAGGGTCTGGAGCAGTTTCTCAACAAGTAAGCCTGTCCACGTCTCAGTCTTTATCCATTCTCCCACAATGCGTCCATGAGGTTAAAACAATTTCTTCTTAACAATTTCTTCTTTGCAGCTGCAGTCGTTTTCCGCTTCTGCCGTTGCTAGTTTAATTTTTTTATTTTTTTATTTAACTCTGCCGAACAATGAAGCACGTTGTGCAATAACTAGATTCAACTTTTTCACTTCTCTTCATATTGTTAACAAACTGAACCCTCGGAGACGGGCAGGTCTTTTTCCTCACTATCCTCCTTAATTCTCCTTTATAATTACCTCGCAAAGGACAAGAACAACCAAAGAGGACTCAAGTGCGCACCCCCACAACATAATTTTTCCCACATTTGTTTTGTTGTTGATGTGTAATTTATGTTAATTGCAGCTCAAATTACAGCGCGTGGTTCCACGGGATGGTGTGTGCACCTCTGCTTATTTTTGATCCAGCATGTCCTCGTTTTCAGCTGCGGAACAATAAAAGTTACAGTGTGATTGTAATTATTTGCTTTGATTGCAGACTTGGCCATTATCTTTGTTTCATGTGCAAATGCTTCAATGTTTCCTGTTGGAATATTAAGTGTGCAAAGACAGTTGAGGAACATTAAAATCCATAAATGTTTTTTTTCTTCTTCATTTATTTATTTATTTATTTATTTTTAAAGGAGACAAGAATGTGTTGGTAATTAAGATTTCTCCCTCCCTGTGCTTTCTGTGAATGAAACACTGCTGTTAATCATATTATTGTTCAGACTTAACACCGGCTGATGTGGCTGGCAGCATTGTTAAATCTGTGATTGAGAGCATTGTGAAGAGGAAATCTTTTGGAATGCTAAACATGATTATCCCTGCAAAATGAGTGAGGAGGAGGAGAAGAGCGAACAATCTTTTTTAAATTTTTTTTATGATAGGCTAGTCAAACATAATGCTGGCTTCAGGTAAGAGGAAATGGCTTAAAATTGTAAACATGCTCCTGCTGCACCTTACGTCCATATCAACATTTCCAAACCTATTAAACAGTATTTGTTGGTAGCTAGCCTGATGTTTCCGGTGACTGCCCTGGTATTTGACCTCTGGCTCAGTCCCTTTGCTGCTTAATTTGTATGAAATATTTTCCTATCAGAGGTTAAGACGCATGCATACAGTGCGTGTAGTCTTATCATTTTGATGTGTTCTGAGCAGTTTGTCGTTTACAAAAAGAGCCGTTTAAGGGTCTCAGGTGCACTGGCTCATTCTCGTTAAGCCGCTTTGCGTCATCTGAAGGGACATTGAGGGAAACTCGATGTCAGAGTGGCTTTAACAGAGCCCCAAACATCCAATATTTTCCACAAGAACTACCACTCTGACTGGGAGGGGGGTCATAAAATATTGATTCATTTAAGTCCTACTGGGATTTAAAGACGTTTGAGAACACCAAATACTCCAGAGCCTCTTATCAATCCCTCAAACTAGGATCAGAGTAACTTTGTGAAATAGTGGAAGGAGACAGGCAGTCTGCTAGTTTTCCTGTTTGCCTTGGTGTGACTTAATTCTATGTCTTTGCTCATTTCTGAGTCAAAAGGGGGGAAACGGATTACTACTCCCAAGTGAACAGTTTTTGTGACTGTCAATGTGTTTGTAAATGTGAGATAAAGTTGTCGTAAATTTACGGTTAAATGGCAAATTCAAATAAGAGTTACTCTTTTTCACATTCTTGGCCGATTAGGGAAATGTACTGTGCTGTACATTACTATATGTGGCAATATAGTTTATAATAATATCAATGATATATAACAGTAACTTTTAACCATTAAACTACCGATATGTTAACTAGATCAGTTCAGATCAGCTCTTTATTCTCCATTAGTATAAATTACTTTAGCGTAATTCTTTTTCAGAGTAGTTTAAATTATTTGTTAGTGAATCAGTGACATTGACTGAAATCTATCCCAAATCTAAACTGCACACTAAATTTAAACAGGTTTGACTTTGAATGCACTCATATAATATAATATAGTATATTTTAGAGACCGTAGGGAGATGACAAGTAAAAGGGTTCAAACAAAGGTGGGAAATTCTTTGCCTTTCACACACACAAAATAAGAGTGTTATAACTGTTTATAAATGGTGCCCATGTAACTTCAGGAATGCCTAATTGAAGTTGTGCACTTATTGTAGTGTTTGAAGTTCATTCTGTGTCGTCGGTGGTTAAGACACTGAACAGTGATCAGATTTTGTATTGCTGTTACTGCACTTACCTATTCTTACATATTTTACTCTGTTTTGTTGTACGACTGCTTCTTTGTGAAAGTAAATTTTACTTACCTACTCAGCTTGCTTATTAACTAAATTTAACAAAAGTTATACTTAAATGTTTTCCCCCCATATGCCACAGTGGCACTTTTGAAGGATGTGGCATATATGTGTAAATATATACTTTAAAACGCAGTTATACTCAGTAAAATTCTTTTAAAAGCATTGTATCAATCCTTATGCATTTACGTGTTACTAGAGTCTGATAGGATTGAAATACAGCAAAACACCTGACATGACCAGTTTATTGTGCAGGCTGTAAATAACCCATTAAAAGTGGGCGAGTCACTTTTTTTTTTTTTTTTTTTTGTTTTTTTTTTTTTTTTAAAGCATGCACACAAAAGATATCATCCTTTAGAAATACTTGCATAAAAATGTTGAATGCTAAATAATTGTCCTTCTAGCACAATTTAACAAAAAAAAAAAAAATCCCCACACTTCTCACGTCCATTTCAGTGATTCATGCAAAATCTTGTTTCCTGTTTGTGCTCATCCCTGTTTAAACTCATCAAAGCTTCATGTTTGAATGTCCACTTTTGCTTTTGTTTTCCAGAGTGGCCGGTCACCCTCTAGCTCAGAATGAGCGATGCCTGCACATGTTTCTACAGGATGAGTCTGTTGACAAGAACTACACCCCATCCAAAATCAGGCAAGCCTGAGGGGAAGAAAAATAAATAAATAAATGGATGGCTCTGCTTGGCCTGGTCTCTCTCTCAGCCCTGCTCAGCCTCGCTTGGCCCAACAACCCAAAGCTCTTTTCACTGCTCCAGGTTTCTCTCAAACAAACATTTTATTGACAATATCGCCCACCCCCCCACCCACCCGAAAAATTATATAATTCACTGCCTCTTTTAGTTTAGTTATCCTGATCGGTGTTTGTTTTCACCTTCTAATCAGAGTCAAGAATGTTCGACACGTAACTGTGGTTGAAAGTAATTTATAGCAATTTCTTTGTCTGGAAATGCCACTAACATGGATATATTAATGTATTTATCATTTAGCTATGTCTTAAATATATTCATTTATATAGTAACATTGAATGAGTGTTCTGTATATGCAAAGCTCTCGTAATGACCCACAGCGTTTCTTGTCCAGTACGGCATGTTGCTCACCACCGACCTACCAACTAAACACAAAAAACACACATGCAACGACGGGGGTTGACTTTCAAATCACACTTAGGTGTTCTTCTCCGAAAAAGGAGGCTTGCATATGTGTGCGTGTGTGTATATTGACCAGCACCTGCCCAATTATCACAAATGATTTTCTAGCAAGAGATTTACACAGAGGGAACTGCAGTATTTCTACTGGCTATATGCATTTTGAGATTTGTATACTGCTGTGCCATTTTTGTTTATTTTGAATATTTTCCAATAAAATAGGTGAAACGTCTCCACGTGTGAGTGCATTTGTTGTCGCTTCGGGCCGTTTGCCTGTCTCGCTACCCGCTTTGGACAGTCAGTCAGGACCAGTGCAGTCATCCTAACTTTATTGCACCTGTTTAATAAATACTGTGCAAGATGTATAAGGACTATAGCTATTCAAAGACAGCCCTGAGTTTGGACTTGCACTAGAGTGAGCCATGCTAAAGACACAAATGATGCAGTCTATGACTTGTGACAGATTAAGCTTGAATTAGTACAACATGTATTTGGGCCAGGTCACTATGCTTAATGAATGCAAGATCCAGAAGCTTTTTTTTTTTTTTTTTCCTTTACTTTTGTATCACATGTGCCACCACAATAAAAGTAAAAAGCCATTTCTTCTTGCCTTCAGGGCTATTTGTAAGGTCTGACCTTTTTCATAACAATAACATATCTGTACATTATTTATTTTTTAAGCACACTGCCTCCCACATGCTGCACATATAAGATGTGAGGACTTTTGACCCGTGCAGTTCCATGTAAAACTTTTGAATTTGAAGATGGAGTTTGATTGCAGCTTCATATGTCCTGTGAGAGCAAGCACTGCTCTGATTTTGGAGCGATTAACCCCAAATGAACCATTTTATGTAATACAAATCTCATTTGGTGGCAAAGAAAAATGTAAAATAATATGTTATTCATTACTTGATAAAGCACTAACAAATCAAATGAACATACACAGAGTTGGTTATTACTGATGAGCTTCAGGTGTTCACAAGAAATCCTGCATTAAATCAAGATGCATGCATTAGTGTTTAATAATTTAGTATGAGCTCTACATCCTTATAAAGTGTCACTGTAATTAGATATGAAGCCAACACCACTGTTTGCTATGATGCCAGGGCTCCAGCTGGTAGTTTTACTATAAGCATCTATAGTAAAACTATACTATAAGCATCTAGGTCATGTTATATGAAAACCGTTTAATTCAGTGTATTTTATTCTCTTGGTTACAACTCTAAATAGTTATAACTCCATTAAAAATTTTGTTTTTTTTGCTTTTACAACAGAATAAAAACATTACAGGCCACAAAAACATTTCCAAGTGCTGAATAAGATTTTATCCAGTGTTAGTGTCTAACTTCAAAAAGTCGACCTTAAGCGTTTTCTTTTCTTTCTTTTTTTTATGCTGCGCCTCAAACAGGACACACCAAACACAAACGGGACAGCCATTTAAATACAGACACCATTTTTCAGATGAATGTAGTTTTACAGTCAAAGGATAATGCATCCTTTTTAAAGAGTCCTCCGCAATGCTTCATGGAGCTGACGCCTCATCGGTGCATTTGGTTTCAGCACCGAATTGAGGAACAGCGACTCGCATCTCCCCCCCCGGATGCTGCTGCTTCTTCTTCTTTTTTTGGTTTCCTCCGTTGGGATTGAACACAGAAATAAAATGGTGAATTGGTCGTCAAGCTCATTGGTCTCATAGACACTCGGAAAAAATCAAAACAAAAAAAGTCTTAATGTACAGCGTTTCTTTAGGAAACGTGCTTGGCAGGTGCTCTCCAGAGCCTTAAGGCGACATTTAGACGCTGCAAGCCGTTTTGGCCACAAGATATTGCAGTTTTCAGAATCAGACAGGCAGGTCTCTAATGAAAGGTACATGCTAATCCTTGACTAGAGCAACTGTTAACAGGCTAAAGTTGTGATCCGGATGTGTTCAATGGAGCCTAAGCCTAAATAGGCTGTATTAAGACAGCCCGTAAGAGATTTTGTGCCGTGGCTACACCTGCTATGATTTGACAGTCTGTGTTGATTGTTCAGTGGGTCTCCTCGTGGGCCTCCAGTCTTTTTTATTCCCCCTCCTCACGCGCCCCGGCAGATGGTGAGAATTCATATATCGCTGGATTTGTACATATCGGACAGGAGCCTGGTGATGGGAACGTTGCCGATGGTCTTTTTGAAGAACACCTCCTCTATGGTGGACGGGCTGACAGAGCGGAGGGCCGGCAGCAGCAAGAGGAGCTTACCAAAACGACACGGCTGAGTCGGGTACCTGAAACACAACTGGTGTCAAAAACAGCCTTTTTGTCCGGTTCCATTTGCAGACTGTCTGTTGCAGCCTGTCCAATTACCGCACACCTGTGACAAATAGCTCCTACTTAGCTTGAATACGAGCTTCATCTGGTGCACCTGCACAATTACAGGAGGCTTATTGCCTCATTAACTTTATAATGAAGCTGGCAGACTATAGCCAGTTGACACGTGCGTAAAGCATGCTTTATCTTAGGATGAAGAGATAGATAGATAGATAGATAGATAGATAGATAGATAGATAGATAGATAATGGCCTGTATAGCGCTTTATTTAGTCCCTATGGACCCCAAAGCGCTTTACACTACATTCAGTCATCCACCCATTCACACACTGGTGATGGCAAGCTATACTGTAGCCACAGCTGCCCTGGGGCGCACTGACAGAGGCAACTGCCAACTCTTGAGCCACGATCGCCCGATAGATAGATAGATAGATGGATGGATAGATGGATAGATGGATAGATAGATGGATAGATGGATAGATAGATGGATAGATGGATAGATAGATGGATAGATGGATAGATAGATGGATAGATGGATAGATAGATAGATGGATAGATAGATAGATAGATCTCTTTTACCTGGTGTGTATATAACTGTTGAGAGTGAGCTGGGCTTCATCTTGCAGAGCAGCAATAGCGCTGGCGTTGCGGAAACTTCTTAATTCTGTGTTTCCATGCGTAGGAACTGTAAGACAAGAGGCATCACTATAGCTGTTAGAAATCTGCTGACATGACACTGCTGTAATGACATGTCATATATTCTCTTCTGAATTCCCAGATTGGCTGTAGTTGTATGCAGCAGAGAAAGTTGAGGTTTGCTTTGGTAAATATGGTTATTTCCGGTAAGAGTCTTTACACTGTGTCAAACATTCGGGCAGTAATTTGCGAGGTACTCACCAGCTTTGAATGTCACGATACATTTCAAGCAGGCGAACTCGGTCGCGTCAAGGCGCATCTGTCTGAATCTGGTGACCACCTCTTGAAGCGCTTGAATCTCAGACATAATCTTGTTCATCCGCTGAGACTCCGTGTTTTCAGTGTTCATCCCTTTGGATAAATGTGAAGAAAAGTTTTATTATGCACGACAACAGCTGCTCGCTCTTCACTTAAAATTCTCTCGTGCTTTGCATATACCAGAAACAGCGAGAAGAGTTGTGGAGTCCACGGGAATGGCCCACTGCGCGATGCCCAGAACAAATAATTCTCTCCAAGCGTCCTCCAACAGAATCAGCTGTAAGGGGTATTTTAAGTGTTAAACTGTGCACAACACGCAACAATTAAACCATCCAAAGTATTTGAAACTTTTTGAATGGTAAAAATAACAACATAAGATTAATAATTCCTTCTTATTTTTCCATGTTGTGTGCAGGTTTTAGGGCTTGGTTGGGAATTATTAGATATGCAGTTTTCAAATCGATACTATCAAATTCATGACATTAATTTAATTAATTTAAAGCGTCTGTCTGCGGACCAAATACTTAATTGGCAGCTGTTCACCATTTCAAACCCCACAGGGCGCTAATGGCCTGTTTGGGGATCATGTTTAAGCATCATTCATTTGGAGAATGAGTCCAAATCGTGGCTACCTGATCAGATAAAGGGAGGGTGGAGAACGCGGGGACACTTTTTGCCCACTTGATGCTCATGAAAAGAAGACGCGCAGCTGACTCGCACACAGATTCCGTAGCCACCTCGTACAGATACATCGGGGTGCCACTGACCTCGTGGGGATACTGCAGAGAGGGAAAATGAAAATGTTGTCATTGTTTATGTCAGAAAGAAACGCAGGTCGGAAAACATTGAACAACAAAGGTCGAATTCCAAGCCCCAGCGCCCAGTTTTCTAATGATTAGTGTTGCTTGTGGTGGATTTACAGTGAGAAGTCTAATTGGCGGATTTGTTGGTCTTACAGGCTTTTAAATCTGGAGAGGAATTTCAACTTCTAACCCTTGTGTTAAAAAAAAAGTTTACTAATTAATCGCACAATAACGGTTTGGAAGAAATACAAACATCTAACATTTTAAGGAATTCTACATCTAGAAATGATTAAATGTAAAACTATGCATGGACTGCGACACGAGAGCCAAGAAATGATTGACTTCTATGCTCTCATTCTTTACTTGAAGGTCTAAAACTCTTTGAAGAAAGTGTACGTTGTAGCTATTAAATTGCGTAATCTTAAAATAAAAATCTACCTTAGGAGTTGGCTGTGCTAGACCCACGATGGCCTGTCTTTCCGGTGTAGTGGCTACTGTGCTCATCTCCAAGTTGTGCGGCTCCAGCTGGGTGACAGTGGTGAAAAAAGGAGGACCGGGTAGTGAGGATCCGGGGAAATGTGCCGAGGAGCCATTCACCTCTTTGTGGCCCCGGAAATACAGAGCGACCTGTTTGCGAATTGTAGATGTCCGTGGCCCCCTCTCATGCTGAACGGCTGTGGAGCGGGACAGTAGGAAGGCAGTGTGAAAGAGAGCAAACTGCTTATTTATCAGGATCGTTAATTGCATTCTCCAGGAGCAATCCTGGGTTTATTTTATTGAACGAAAGCTGCTCCTTAAAGTGCAAATGTTCAGCGTGAAAGAAAAAAAAAAAAAGAGCTTCTACCAGCGCTCCCAGGAGGTATAAATAAGATCTCCTTTAAAACAAGCGGGGAGCAGGTAATTATCAACTTCTTTTCAGCTTTGATTAACAGATTTTATACACTTTTTTTCTCCCCCGAATCCAATACTGTCCTACTGTACTGGCGTTTCTTTGCTCAACGTGATAATTCAATTAAGCTCGTTTACCGTCTTTATTCATGTTCACTTCCAGACACTTTTTCAAACGACAAGCTCGGCACTGGTTTCTGTGAGTTTTGTCTACGGGACAACCACCCTGTACAGAGAGAAAAGGGGAGGGGGAGAAGGGGACATAAAAAGAGGAAGGGGTTACAGCTTCTAGTTAAAATTCTCTTAGCTTGCAGGAGAGAGAAAAAAGCTTCTTGCTATTATCCTCCTGGGAGGGCAATCTCCAGGTGAAAGATCGTACTATTATCTTTTAGTTATGGAGGTGCTCCCCTGCGGCTCCAGTGTGGCCTCATCCCGCAGGATAAGTACTCTATCCCGCCCTCTGCCGCCTAAATCCTCGGCTTCGAGTCATCACATTAGATTGGATTACACCTGATATATTACAGCAGCGCGGCACTTAGCCCAGTACTTAATGGTCCAGGCATGACATAATTAGGCTCATCAAGAGAGACTTAACTCAGCGCCAAAAAGAAAAGCAAACAGAAATCAGCGCGTAAAATATGCATTACGCGCGTAAAACGCTTGGTATGTTTTGTGGGTGAAAATCAGACACCTAGGGGATATAAAGAATAAAGGATGAGACAAATTCTGTGCAGGGTGCTAACTTTATTTGGAAAATGAAAGAAATTGCTCCATATTCATGGCAATGATTGCGTACAGGTTTCTCACTTAGGCTTGATTTGATAATTTCTTTGCCTGCTTGTTTTCCCGCCTTGCTTGAAATTCTATTAAAAATAAATAAATAAAACTACTTAATCGAATTTGAAAAGCGCAAATAGTAGGTGCATTTAACCACAGCCAATTCAGCCTCGTGTAAAAAGCAGGGAAATTTAGTTACGAGCTTGTATAAACTTAAAGGAGGCCTCACCTGCGAGCCAGATTTACACACATAAGTCCGATTTCTGCGGATGCTCCTCTTGAAGAATCCCGAGCAGCCATCACAGGCGTAAACACCATAGTGTTTCCCTGAGCTGCGGTCACCGCACACTTTACATGGGATGTCCAGAATCCGACCTGGGAGAGGTCAAAAATGTCAAGTAAATGATGTGCTCACTGAATTACGAAGCGCACAGTTCAGTTTTAAATCAAAACATTTTGATAACATTTTGTAGCGGTTGCTCGCGTAATCGCGGGATTTATGAATAAATATCATGGAACAAAGTGTTTACAGTGTTTTTCCAGAATAAGTTGGTATAACAGTTTTCAAAGTTGACACACTGGCTGCAGTTCAGCGGCCGACCTGCAATTATGTGACTTTACACCGACCCTATAATCAGTTAAAAAGTACCATAATCGAGCTCATATACACTGAAGCAATGAACAAACTGTCCTGCATGTGACTTACTTATGTCCGACAACTCCACACAGCCACAGACACGCTCTCACACACTCATTACACGCACACTGGACAACGCCCCGCGTCTCGTCCGAGCACGACCATGGGAATTCACTGCGCACATTTTAAGAATAAAGTCCGGTGGGAAGCGTTATATTTGAGCTCTCTAAGACAATACCCCGAAAACGCACAATGGAGACATTAGGGGAAAGTGTTAACTTAATGATTTTCTCCCATTGAACCTCGTCTGACTGCCTGGATCTCGACAAGCTGCCAACTCCACTTCATAATGGGACTCGACAGCTGCTTTATCCCACAGGTCTATAGGCCCCAGGATTAGGGAGTGACACTGCACCATGAGAATAATGCGTACCAACTCGTTTCACCAACTCAAATGAAGTGTATGTAAATCGACCCCGGTGTAGATGAAAAAATGTGATTTTTTTTGTGAAGATTTTGTATTCAAATCTCTTAAAAAGAAGATATTTGTATGCATATGAGGCAGTCCTTTTTTTATTCTGGAGGGAAAAGCCGTCTATGTAATTACACTGACGTTTTGCCACCTGCTCATTGATTCACCAGTGACCCGTCAAAAAGGGTAGCATGGGAATAACTACTCAGCAGCAAAAACAATGACTTCAGGAGAGAGTTATAGGACTGGAATTGGCTGTTTATTAAGAATCAAAACTCCCTGTAGCCCTTTAAATGTACGCAAAAGACATTTAATTGCTGTAACATGCAATAAAAAAGTCATTTTAAAGTTGGATTTAAACATTTTATTGTTAAACAAAATTAGGTATTTTGGTACCCAACTTGTCATTAGTAATTGGAGAAATTTACGCTCAACGTGTTCCATACTGGTCCTAGTTATTATTATCATTATTATTATTATTATTATTATTATTATTATTATTATTATTATTATTATTATTATCACTGTTGTTTTTTTATTTTCTTGTTTTCTAATTTTTAAAAAAAATAAATCATTCTTTTTTATTTTGTTTTAACAAACCTTTAGAACCAAAGCTAACCAAATTACATTTTCATTGACACAGCCCCCAAATTAAAATTTAGAGTTTAATTAAACCGCGGATGACCAAAAGTGTAAACATTTTCAACAAGAAAAAATGTCCCCCCAAATATTAAACGATGGTCGCTGGGAGTCAATTAAATAAAAATGACAGACAATTTTGTTGTGAAAGGGGGAAATGTATTTAACTTCCCGCTGTGGGGGTCCACTGCGTCTCCATTGTGAGCAGTAATTGCTTGAAGATATATGGCATATTCTATTAACGTAATCACCATCAAGGCGAAAACCTGCTAAAAGAGTTGGAAATGAAGTTTTAGGGAGAGAAAGAGCTGTTTCCTCTGACCACTCGGTAGCGTGGCTGTGAACTTGAGTCACAGCAATGCTGTGAGTCGTTTTATTCTCATTTGAAAACACACGTTTACATCCGCCGAGCACAGATTTTAAAAGCGGCGGCCTGGTGTGAAAAAAAAAATGTGGTAGCTCTAAAAGAAGCATCAAATGTGAATTCAACAGAAATGTCCATTCTTTGGAGAGAGAGAACAATAGCCTACTTTAGGCCTATATTATGATCTGAGTCCGCCTTCATTTGAATTCATAATGAGGCCTAGCAGAGGGATAATTGCAAGGGTTAAGAAAAAAAGGATCAGAAAATAATTTGATAGGAAAGTGTAAATCAGCTTGAAATTTATTACTATTTTAAAAAAGTCAGTAACATGATTTAAAGCGCTTCAGGAAACTCAAATGAGGGATTCAGAAATGCGCAAACACATTTCAGACATAAGAGGAAAAAATCTCGTGCGCAAACGGGATTTCTCTTCATGTAAGATTGAACGATACCCTGCATATTGCGCTGTTACTCTTTTTAAAGGCTGAAAATTAAATTGCAGGCAACAAGTGTCATCAAAGGGAAGCATGTGGGGCTTTTGAAGAGCAGTGGTCGGCAAATGAATGTGGCTTATTATTTTCGCTTCCTTCTTATTTTGTTTCTCGAAATCTGTGAGCAACATTACAAAATAAATTTTACACATGATTTCCTTTCATTCAGGAGCTTTGTTATCCGGGGATGTTCATGTATTGCATTCTGAGACGGCCGACAGCCAGTCCCCATACTCACAACTTTGTGATCATGAGGTAGAGTCGTGAGAAACATCTTTAAAGACACCATGGACTCACTCACTCATTTGTTATACCCGTCGCTACTGTAGACCTCCCATTATCTATGCCGTGTTCTTCAGAGGAATCGGAGATGATGATGAACAAAACTTACTTGATTTGACATTCAGAATATCCAAACAGCCACTTGTTGAACCGGTGGGTTTGCTCATCATGGATCCTCGATATTTTAAAGAATCTGGATAAAAAGTGTCCTTTTTCTCCTCTTCTTGTGGACAGAAACAATGAAGTTTGTGACACTGAATCACTTGTGGTTTCTCGGTTTCTTTGCCAGCAGCGACGAGAAACACAAGTCAAAGTCCCGAAGCCAAGTTGATAGAAAGTCAGCCTCCGATCGATCGAGAGCCACAAATTAAAACATTAATTATACATTTTATCAGGGATCTTTGCCCTCGACGCCGAAGATTCCGGAGAACCAGGACTGGATCCCCGGGCAGCAGCCGGTAAACGGCAGCAGCAGCTCTCCAGCTAGTGGCGCAGTAGCCGGTGCGTAAAGTTCGAGTTGGAAAAACGGTGGCTGGAGCGCATCCGATACTGCCAACGCGGTGGCGAAGGGAAAAAAGGGGCAAATTTCCGATTTTCTTACGGTTGAAAACTTGTTAAAACCAGGACACGATGTGACTTTATGGTGGGAGCCTCCCGAATAAGCCTTGGTAATATTTATGAGAAGTGTCAGGGGGAGGCTGGAGGGTGGAGATCTCCACTTCCTTCATCCACTTGGCTTTCTACTCCAAACTCCATCCTGACGTCACTGGCGTGCGAGGGAGTGTGTGTGCGCTTGAATGTGTGTGCAAGTGCTGTGAAGTGCCTTGCTAACGGAGCCAGATCCACTGCAGACAAAACACACATGTTGCATGTTTTCCTGGACTGCATTTTGCGATTTTTAATGTGTAGAACTCTTATTTATAATAATAATAATAATAATAATAATAATAATAATAATATGACCGAAAATATTCAAAATGTGTTTAAAATATATAATCGCATATCCTAAAGAATAAAAAGATAAAATAAAATGAAATAAAAAAGTAAAAATGATCCAAACTGTTGGGACCGTGGAGATGGCTTTAAGAGGCTGATTACTGTAAATATTTTCGGGTATGCTGAGGTATGCTGACCACTAATAAGAGTGTATTACCATATGCAGGGAGGTGGGGGGTGAGGGTGGGCTGAGACCTTCAACAGTCAGCGCTCCTCATTTCCTACACTAGCACAAAGACATTTGTGTCTGGTTCCTCGTACAGTCCTCCAGATTAAATGCTTGGGCTCCACCACATACGTAGCAGCGGTCAAGACAACTGTCATAAAGCTGAACTTTGATTTTTAAAACACTTTATTGCGTATTTGATTCTTTAATAAATATAAAAAAGGCTAAAGAGACGACAAATTTAAAAGGTTCATACAGTTAAAAGTTGTAAAATATCCATCTCTCCCCCGTTTTCTCGGGGGCGTTGGTGTAGTTTTGCTCCACAGTCTGCATTATCTTTCCTTTGTTAGTGGCTTATTGGAGCTCGTTAGGTGGGCAGATACACCATGCAGACACACTTTGGGACCTTGTAATATAACTTATTAAAAAAACAAGGCTTCTAGAAATTAATGTATTTTTTTTAAAGAACCTTTTATTAAGTGTAAAAGGTAAGCATTCATTTTTAATTTAACAACCATCTTTAAATACAAACTTGGGAAAAATGTGAAATATAAAAAGTCATACATATGGAATATATAAACACACTTAAATATATTTGCTTTTCATTCTGTTTACTTTGATTTTCTTTGACGATTCATGCAAACCTACCGCTGAACTTCATGAGCCCTTCACATTTAA